CCTGCAACTTCTGTCGATATCTCCCAGAAAAGGCATTACAGAGCGTAGCCTTGCCCAGTGGGTATTACCCGCCGATTTTGAGCGCGCGGCCAACAGCTGCTATCCCGGGAAATCCCACAACAGGCAGAAGTCAGGAACTATGTCAACATCAATTTCTGCATATGGCAAAATGGCAGGAGACGGGAGGTTTGTAGGAAGCGAGGAAAAGGTGAGGGTTGAAATAAGGTTAGCTTCGGCAGGGGGCCCCGTGTTGCAATTAACCTCCGAATTTCATACTTCTGCATAGCAACAGAGTTTGCGAGTAGGCAGTTTTGTTTACAGGCTTCGGGTCTCCAGGTCTCCCACTGTAGGAAAAGACTTCCCCCTGTCAGCCCCGCCCCCCCACTGCTGCTGAGTAAGTCAGCAAGTTTAAAGTGAATGGAAAAAAGGCTGTTCTGATGTCATTTCCCAGAGGAACCCGGAAGTGATGTCACGCCACCCTAGGATTCAGCAGAAACTTTACGGTATAACCCTCCGTGTATCCCTCTGGATAGGTGGCCACCTGGGAACTGTTTAGGAGCTAGGAGGCTGAAGTTGGTTCCTTATTCGAATAAGGAAGTGCGAATAAGGAACCAACTTCAGCCTCCTTTAGGAGCTGCTGCTGCTGCTTACAAGCCAAAGGAGTAAGACGTGTGAACTAATTCTCTGCTCGGAGAGATTGAATATCTGCCTTTCTCATAAAATCATTCTGCCCTCCTCCATGTTATCCTTACTATGACAACCCTTGAGGTAGGTTAGGTTGAGAGAGAGTGACTGACCCAGGGTCACCCGCCAACGTTCCGTGGCCGTGTGAGGATTCAAACCCGGCCCTCCCAGCTTTCAGGTTAGAATTCTTCATCGAGCCGGATGTTAAAAACAACCAAAAGGGTAGGGAAGGGGGACAGAGAGGCCACGGTGTTAAGGCGGGGGTCACCCACCTCCAGGCGGGAAGCGGAGATCTCCTAGAATTACAACCATTCTGAATGAATGAATTATTCATTCATTCATTTGTAGCTTTTTATAAATACAAAAAAGACATCATATAATTTCAAATACATTTTCAAGTCTAGCTCCACCAAACTGTTTAAACCATATATAGGCTGATTTCGCACTAGAGCTGCCTCGGTGTTGCGCCGCCGTTGACTCTTGGTCAATTTCACACCCGAAGCCGCGGGGCTGCCTTTGACCCGTGACTTTGCCCAATTTCCTCCGCAGTTTTGTCTCAAAAAACAGGGTCACGAAACTGTGGGGGAAATCGGGCGAAGCCGCGAGTCAAAATGCAGCCCCGCAGCTTCGGGTGTGAAATTGACCAACTGTATCGGGGCAAACGGCGGTGCAACACCGAGGCAGCTCTAGTGCAAAATCAGCCATAAAGTTTTCTTTTTGTTTTTTTTTTACTTATATAAAGTATAGTCTTCCTCTTGTAGTAAGACATTGAATCTATCCATTTCTGCCACTTCAAGCAATCTTTCTGTTAAGTCTTGTATTGAGGGAATTCTCTCCATTTTCCAATTTTTGGCTAACAAAATTCTTGCTGATGTTATTATATTTATTTATTTATTGCATTTATACCCCGCCCTCCCCGCGAATGGAAATTATAAGATAAGCATCACTTTTAACATAGCTGCCAGGAGATTTTGATGGCAGTGTCAGGGGAGGACAGAAACTGTCGAGTAGGGTCACGTCGCTTCTGAGTGTCACTCTAGGATTTTCCCCTAATCTCTGCGACAAAGTCCATAAACACATGGGGAAATGCCAGGGGTGCCAAACATAAGGCCCAAGGGCCGGAACTGGCCAATCCAGGGCTCCTACCTGGCCCACAAGCAACTGTTATGGAAGGGAGTGTAAGGTACTCCTCCTTTTATGGTATCCCTTGTAAACAAAACCCTAGTCTTGGGTATGATTAAATACATTTATTGGGGCTTTTGTGGGTTCCCCAGTAAATCAATTGCTTTCACTGCTAGGAATCAATCACTCTTGTATTTTGAGTAAAAAATACTGTCAATTGGGTTTGGCCGTGTCCTTTATAAAGTTTATATCTCCGCTACCTGATATTACATTCTATGGCGCACATGGCTCGGCCCAACAAAGTGACATTTATGTCAGATCTGGCCCTCGTAACAAATGAGCTTGACATCTCTGACCTAGACCTTCCCTGTGGAGGCTGTTTTCTGGCCCATTTTTTCTCCTTTTCCTCAGTTTCTGTGGGGGATTGAGGCCAAGGGCAGGGGTCTACAAGCCATCAGCAGACGACTGGGAAACCTACGTGTGCTTTGCGACAGAACGTACCTTTGACCAACCCTGTTATTTCTTCCCCTGGAGTGCTGAAATAAAATATTTAAGCCATAGAGTCGATGTGGATTTTTTTTTCCATTCTAGGTGTGACGCAGGCTATACTGGACAACACTGTGAAAAGAAGGACTACAGCGTTTTATACGTGGTTCCTGGCCCCGTACGGTTTCAATATGTCTTAATAGCAGCTGTGATTGGAACGATCCAGATCGCCATCATCTGCGTCGTAGTACTCTGCATTACAAGGTTGGTAACTAATGGGGTTGGTCTTGGGAAGAAGAAAGAGGCTCTCGTGCATGTTCTGACTCCTCTGGGTGGGTCCTGTAGATCTCCCGGAGTTATAACCAGGGCTCTTTTTGTAGAAAAAGCCCAGCAGGAACTCATTAGCATAATAGGCCACACCCAACAGCAGAAACTCATTAGCATATTGGGCCACACCCCTGACAGCACAGCTCATTAGCACATTAGGCCGCACCCCCATGTTACCAGAAGTGTGGTCATCCAGCCACACCCACCTTTTGCTTCTTATTCTGTTGACCTTGTTTGTTGTCAAAACCCAGGTCTTTTTTTGTAGCAGGAACTCCTTTGCATGTTAGGCCACACACCCCTAATGTAGCCAGTCCTCATGAGTTCCTGCTGTTGGGTGTGGCCTATTATGCTAATGAGTTCCTGCTGG